AAAAAAAATTTTTTTTGGAGCTTTCCCATTTTTTTTTTCCACCCCCCCCCCCCCCGTTTATTCCATTTTGGTTGGATGTAGGCATAACAAATAAAAATGAGTTTCTATCTTTAGTTAGTTACGGCCTTAAAATGGTATAGAACTGGAGCTTAGAATGAATTGACATTTGTGACAGATACCAAAATGAACAAAAAGCAGTCCTTGGGGATGCTAGAAATAAAAGGAAAAGCCAAAGAGAATGAAGGTTCATTACAAGAAGAAAGAAGTGAAGTGGTAATGGGTGATGATGAGAAAGCAGAACATCTTAACTTTTCTTTTACATCTGTCTTCTCTCAAAAGGGAAACGGAGCCCTAGTTGGTCACTGTTACACCCTTGAGGAGGTAAGGAACTACAGCTCAGCACGGACAAAGAGAGGGTAAGAGAGAATTTAGACAATGCAAATAAACTCAAGTCTCCAGGGCTAGGTGAATTGTATCCCAGGGTACTGAAGAAACTAGCAGAGGTGATCACAGAACCACTGTTGGTATTCTTTGAGGACTGATGAGGTCCCAGAAGAAGACAGCAAATGTCCTCCCCATCTTCAAAAAAAGGAAGATCTGAGAAACTGTAGAACTGCAAGCTTGACATCTATACTGGAGAAGATCTTCAAATGGATGATCAAGCAGCATGTTTGTGAGAACATGGATAGGCATGCTACAATGAAAAGGAGCCCACATGGATTGGTCATGCCAGACTAACATTATCTCATTTGTTGAGAGATTTACTAACTCAATGGATCAGGTACATTGTTCTAGAGACTCTAGTGGTATGTGGAAATGACCTTGGGAGACAGAAGGGAGAGCCTCAGATGGGACCACTGGCATGTAAAAGATGTCTCAGTCCGCAGAAGGGTGGATGGTGTGGGAAATGTTTCAGAAGGGACCCTCCCTAACTTTCTAGATAGTAAAAGGAAAGGAGAGGAGAAATACTTTGTCTTGCAAGATTCTGTTAATGTAACCAAACAATAAAGATAGAGCCAATTCTCCTGGTTGTGCTTCTTGCTGCACTAACAGCGACATAATGTACCTGAACGAAGACTTCCACAAAACACCTCATGATATTTTCCTTCACAAAATGATAAAAAGCTGCTAAATGATACCACAGTCAGACGAACTCATAGTTGGTGGTATACCCACACCCAAAGAGCGCTCATGAATGGCTCCACTTAAGCTTGGGGGGAAGTACTGAGTGGAGAGCCACAAGCTCTGTCCTGGCTCATGAGCTGTTTAATGTTTTTATCAGTGACTTAGATGCAGTTTGTGGCATATGGATTTTGGTGGCCAGGCATGGCTGCTGTTGTGCTGACATGAGTCAGCAAAAGGATAGAGAAAAAATAGGAAGAAGAAGCCGAAAGGTGGCACTGGAGTGCAGCTGTGCTGTTTCGAGGGCATATGAGGTGATGTGGCTACAAGCCAGCACTGTTGTAGGGCAGATGGAGGCAGCATTCCCATTGGCCAAGCCTTGTAGACAGATCTTGGGGGACTAAAGTCCTGGGGGAAACCCACCTGCTCAGTTGTTGGGGGACATGCTGCCAGTCTGAACTGTAAAGGAGAGAGAGAGAGAGAGAGAGGGAGGGGGGGAGGGAGGGAGGGAGAGAGAGAGAGAGAGAGAGAGAGAGAGAGAGAGAGAGAGAGATACATTGCCATTTTTGATCCTGTGCTGCAGAACTTGCACTTGGAGAATTGTTTGGCAGGAGAGAAACATCGCTATAAGTGTGCTGGGAGTGTGTGGTTGCCAAGAGAAGAAAAGCCCCAGAGAGAGGGATAGGCTGCACCCAAACCCCAAGGCAGATGGGGAAGGAGGGAGATGGATGGGTGTTTGGAGTCTTCGTGGAAGCCCCAGACTGGGAAGGGCTGGGCAGAAGACCCCAAGGGAAGGGCATCACACAACATGTCAGAGGGACAGTTGATGAGGTCCGAGAGAGCGTGATGCACTGAGCGCATGCCAAAGTAATTGACCCAATTCCCTTCCTATCTCTCTTAGTGAGAAGCTGAGCGGGAGGGAGGAGGAGAAAAAAAATGGGGGGGGGAGATGGTAGCTATGGAGCAGTGAAGTGGGTGCTTGCTAGCCCTGAGAGAGAGATGGGGAGAAAGTTGACACCAGGAACATTTTAGTAGTTCCTAATTGCTGTAAATAACTTTGTATATAGTAAAACAAAAAACAAAAAAAAAACCCATAAAAGCCTCCACCAATTCTGACTTTGGGAAGCGCCTGTCCTCCAGAGTTGAAGGACACTTCTCAAGCCTGCAGATGACACAAAACTACAAGGGGTGTCTAGTACATCAGATGAAAGAGAGAAGATTTAAAAAAGATCTAGAGAGGCTGAGTGGTGGGGTGCAATGAAAATGATGGACTTGAACCCTAACCCTAACTGTAACCCTAGCGATTAGTTGGCTGGATCAATTAACCTGTTTTTGATGATCCTGCATGCAATCTAGACAGAAGTAATATTAAAGAGTGATTCACCTGACACTCTTTCGGTGTGCCAGTTCAATTCCCTTTTATACTCACAATTCAAACCCACTGCTTTTCTGTCTTGCCTTTCCCACATTTCAAGAGATGCTTAGCCCTATGTTTCATACCCTTGAAGCTGAGCACTTGCTGGTTGTTGACATAACTGACATCCCTGCCCTGAGAACCTCTGGCTCTCGGCTAAACTTCCCCAGAGACACAATCAGGAAAGTTTATCTTACTACACCAATTATTATATGATATTGCTATGTGGAAAAGGGTCCAGCTGTCTCAGCGAAGGTTGTGAACATCAAAATGTGGAGCCCTATGGTCCTTACACTGACAATCCCCTATGGGATTGATTTCCTCAAAACACTTAAATTCTAAATTCCCGCGGTGGCAGAATAGCAACCCTAGGGCTTGGGGAAGAAATAGAAATGGATTATTATGGGATCAATGCGTCAAGAATAGACAAGAGTAAACATCAGTAGGTATCATTAATATGCCGCTATTTGTTATGGAAGCAACTTTTTAATTGCTTACCTATATTACAGGCTTAGCAAAATGGCAATATGTAATAGATTGTGGCTTATTGTGAAAAATTAACCTGGGTTCTAATAATTACTTGGATGGCAGATTACTAGGAATTCCAGAGGTGTAGGCTAGATTGGAAAATCAAAATCAAAATAATAATCCCAGAAAGAAAATTATGGCTAACCACATCCATCTTCTTAAGAAGAAAACTACACAAAGTGTTCACAAAACCACCAGGACTTGAACTCAGCTTTTAGGGTTGGGATTAGGGTTTTTTGTGTGTGTGTGGGTGTCTGTGTGTGTGTGTTTTAACTTTACAATATAACAGGCTTGATGAAATTAACCTCATAACATCCTTACATCAGAATAACATAAAGGGATAAACCAAATGTTTCATTAATGGTTAAAAAGTGGGCCTTGAGGAAAGATGCAACCACCAAAGGAAATCTGAAAGGCAATAAAAAAAACCCTGGTTTATTTTTATTTTATTTTGCTGCCTCTGATTTACTTTTAAAGGAAAAGCTAGTGCTGGATGGATCGAAGAAACACATAAAGCAAATAAGACTCAACTGGTAGATGGAGTTAACAATCATTTACTGAAGTAAGGTAGGGTTGAGGTGACGGAGATGAGAATTTGATGATTTTAAAACCAATTGTCAGACATGGAATGTTTAGTTCCCATCAGTGCAAACTGGGTTTTATAGGGTAAAATAATTCTGAGTGTGATTTCATAAATGCATCTCCAGGCTACTGTAAACTGAGGGATATTAGCTATAAAAATGACAGTGTTCCATGTTTCCCTTGCTGAATATTACTTTATTTGCTGTCTGAAAAATTGGGCGGTTATTATGGGTGCATTCTCGAACAGGTAACCATATATGTCCAAAGAGGGGTGCCAGAAAATATTTTCCCACACGACAGCTCAGAAACCTGATCAAGTTTGAAATTTCTTCCCTGGATATCTTCCACCTTCTGGCACACGTTCCTCACCTGTTTTGAGATGCATCTGGAAAAAAAAAGGTTGGTGCTGAAAACACAGATCGGAATAATTGCTTCATATGATATGCAGCCCAGTTCACCCTCCCCAACCACTCACTGCTTTTCCCCATAAAAGCACGACAGCAACATAAATTTAAGGCATTCTTTACGCCCGGCATACACAATTGAGTAAATTGAGCTTCCCGATTGAGCAGTGCAGACAGAGATAAAGAGTGAAAAGTCTTCCTTATTATATCCTATATTTCTGCCTCGAGGGGAGAAAAACGGCATTGCAAGTTTGGCACTGTGATAAACTGGATTCCCGACTTGGAGAGTTTTGACAGGCTGCAAGTCAACCTCTGTTGTTTATTTGGGATATAAGTCTACCATCGCTTGTGTGACGAACCATAAATTTTATCTGGAACTTGGGAAAATGGAGGCTTGGAGCTTTTACCTTTGGATAAGGAGTGACAATGTCCTTAGTGTTCTTTAATCTTGTGGAAAACGGAGTGGAAGGTATTAGTTGTTCTAAGATGTGAGAAGTCACACAGGGACTCTGCGCTGTTCCAGATATGCTCCAAAACCATCTGTTCCTATGTCTGTTGAGCCAATATTTTGTGGTATATCGAGAAAGCACCCAAACAAACAAACATACAATAAGAGTTGATCTTTCTGCAACGATGAAGCTCTGTATAAGGGAATATCTGCAGCTCAGGGTGGAACTGTGGAGTACTTGGTGCTCTCTGAGCCTGGTTGAGGAACGTCTGCAAGCCAACAGCAAAGCTCAGAGAGCACCAAGAACCCTGTAGAGACTGCTTTCCCATTGGTAAAAGACTCCTTTGTCCCACCCTCATTCTCAGAATGATGACGGTAGTATTCTGTTCATGGGTCTTTAAAGGGGAAAGATGACTTGGTGGCTTTGCAGGTTTTCCTTCAAAGCAGCTGCTCAGCTGTTTTTGTGGGTGGACATCATCCTATTGATTTCTCTTTAAAACATAACATCAATTTGGGCTGTTTTGAATTTTTATACATCCTTTCAACTTCTCCTTCCAGGTCAAGAAAACTGAGGTGAATTTACCCAGAGTTCAGTAGATTTCCAATGTCTCTTCTGCAGGGGACCAACAAGTGTGCAAAGTGCCAGACTGTTCCCTCTCCCAAACCATGGCCCCAAAGAGGTGTGGGAGGGTGCTAGCAATGTATTTTCTTTCCTATTTGTGGTTGAGGGTTTTTGTTGTTGTTCCAGGACCATCTATCTTGTTGTTCTCCCTTGGCAACCTTCACCTTCCTCTCTGTAGTAGCTATCTATAGATGTAGCTTAGAATGTATCCCTCCTCTTCTTCACTTCAATCCTTGCTGCAGCTGCAATTTTGTCTGACTGAGAAATTGCCATTGTGCAATTGGTTCACCATCATAGCTAACAATAGAGCTCTAAATACAATATGTAATGGGATGGGAGAATAACCTTGAGGAACAGGAGGAAGAGCCACAGCCAAGACAATGGTCGGAAAAGAGAAATCTGAGTCCAAAAGCAGGAATAGAATTTGAGAAAACATTTCAGACTTGTCCCTTCCTTTT